CCGTGGACGTAGGCATCTCGCCGAACCACGTAAAATCTGGTGTTTGATTGTTTGTGTTTTTGTTGGTGAGTTGGTTTATCTCTTTCAGCTATTTGGTTGGATCTCGGCATATGGGTTTCTCCCCAACAATCACTTCATCAGAAAAAAGTTTAAATGTGGAAGACAACCTAGAATATATTTTCATGAAATAACCAAGTGATTCTGGAATGAGCGTTGTTTAGGAATATATTATGGAGCTCTATAATGTTATAATTAGATTAGGAATAATATACTAGGAGATAAATTAGAGATTTGATGATTAAGAGATATTACGAATGTAATTAAGAGAATAATTGCGATTAGGTAATTGTGTTTAGTCCCACATTGACTACACAATAAACTTGTTGTTTTTGTACCCTTATATAAAGAGGAGTAATTGTAGTTTTTAAAATATGAATGAGAATCTATAATATTTTCTCAACATGGTATCAGAACGACGCAAACCCTAGCCCCAATTGACTATTCACCATGAACAGTACCACGATCACTGTTCACTATAAACAGTATCGCTGTGACTGTTTACAGTGAACAGTGCCACAGATTCTTATCCGTCCTACTTTCGAATGCCTTGTTGATGATCATGATTGTAATTATTAGTAGTAATAGTCATCTTTGATGTATAGGTTCTCATCACCGCCTGTGCTGTCTCGATTTCTCTTTGTTCACCGCCTACTCAATTAGTCGACACCACCGCCACCACTGCGTGTATTCTAGAAACGATGACCACCATTAGTTATAAAAAAAAAGATTTTAATTGAATTAGGATTTAGTTTAGAGTTTGGTTTGATGAAGGTTATTTTCTCAGCTTTATTTGTTTGGTGGATCTCTAAAGAGGGATCATTTGTTTGGCAGATCCCTAAAGAAGGATCATTTGTTTATTAAATCCATGTAGATGATCGTTTGTTGGTTGATCCGTGAAGAGGATCAATTTGTTTGGTTGATTCGTGAAGAGGATCATTTATTTGGTGGATCCCTAGAGAAAATCGTTTGCTTGGTGCGTTATCTATAAAAGAAGCCGTATCATTTTGTATGTTCTTTACTTCTAATATGGCATTATCTCTTTCATGAGTTAAGCTAGAAATGGATGATGTTAATTTTTCATTTTCCAAGTTCAACATATCATTGTTTTCTTTAAGGTTTTCATTTTCTTTAGCAATGATATCAAACTTGGATACTAGCTTCTCATGATCGGATTCTAAATTATCATGCTTGCATTTTAAATCATTAAAATCATTTTGCAACTTGTTAAAGGCATGTAATAATTTTTCACTAGCACAAGCAAGTTCATCATTAGGTAAATCATTAATAGATTTGAACTCGCAAACCTCACTAGGGCTATCGCCTAGTGGCCGTGTGCATGATGAAGCTCCAATATTACTTGAGGAAGAATCCGCCGGAATCCTTTGGATCTCCTCCAAGTTACCATGATGTGCTTCTATGAATGTCCACAATTTGTAAGCACTATCAAAATAAACAAGCTTGTTAGAAATAGAAGAATCAAGTGCATGAAGCATATATTCTAACACAACTTTATTCATAGTAAACAATCTTTTATCATTTCTACTCCACTTGGATTTCTCCATAGTGGGTACAATATAAGCATTATCAATAATTCCCCATAGATCAATATTTTTAGATTGCACAAAAAGTTTAAATCTAGAAGCCCATTGTGCATAGGGAAAATTAATGAATTTAGGAGCAACATTAGATTCATAGCCTAACAAAAGTGCATGCTTCATGACCATGATAACTATATAAGAGTGCAAGCAAGACAAATGCAATCAAAATAAGATTAGCACAAAAAGATAACTTGGATCTTTAACTCAAGGCGATTAGACCGTAAATCAAAGAGCACCAAGCTCTGATACCAATTGTTAGACCCTAGAGGGGGGGTGATTAGGGTCTTATGCTAATCTAATCCGATTAAATGCCAATTAAAAACTAATTAATGAGTTATCCTAGCAAGTATGAAATACCACAAGAAATATGAGCTAGGATAAGCAATGTAAACAATGAGATAAATATCCTATAGGATAAAAATATATGCAATAATATATAAACTAACACAATGGTGAAATAAACATAAACAAGATAGTGGATGAAATAAATAGGATATGTAAACTAACACAAGGGGTAAACAATCTAAACAAGATAGTGGATGATATAGATAATGAGCTAATGACAATGGCGATATAAGATATGAACATAAATATGAATGAACGCCAAAGCACACTCAAACAAGCAATATGATCACGGAGTTCGGACCTTCCGTCCTACGTCTCCGCTCCCCACTCCCGGGGAGAAATCCACTAACACAATCCGGTTTGGAAGCCGGAACTTCTTCTACACACTCGGTTTTCTAGCTAACCGAAAACTCTACAACTCACACTCTTGCAATCACACTCTACACCCACTAAGTGTTGGACCTAGCCGTGTCTCCCTCAAGTGCTCGGTTACAACCTCTCCCTAGGCACGTCAACCGACGCCACTCCTCTTGGGACGATCCCCGACTCTCACCACACACTCCTCACTCGGTGTACAAGTGTATTACAAAGTGATTTCACAATTAAGCACAATATAGCAAATGATTGTTCTCTCTAACAAGGTGAGAACTCAATTAGGCTTAACTCAATGTCACACTATCCCACAACCCAATTATATAATGTATGCAAATACAATAAGCTCAATGGTTGTGTGTGCAAACAAAGAGTAAATCAAATCAAACTAAACTCAATATAAAACTAGCTTTAATAGAAATGATAATCAACAAATAATTATAAATAAAAGCTAGACTTGAGTTTAGGAAAACTTCTCTAGATCAAGATGGAGAGATGGAGATATGAAGCCCAAACAAGAAGATGATCTCCTCCACTTGTGAAAATAATCTTCAAACCAAACAAACACTAAAACTCACTTAAACCCTTGTTTAAAACTCTTTAAACTTGTTTAAAACATTTCTTGAGTTACCTTAGAGGTATGAGGGCATGGGGTATATATAGGCTCATGAAACAACCCCAAAAACCAATAAAAACACCCCCAAAACATTAAAATAAACAAAAAACAGAACTAGCTGTTACTGTAGCAACGGTCGGATGCTACAGTACTTCGGTCGACCGGTACGGTCGACCGGATTACTGTAGCAGTGCGCAGCTGTTTTGTAAAATCAATTTAAAATAGTAAATGAACTCCAAAAATTATGAAATTTTGTGGGAATGCTCTAGACATGTATAATAACATGTAAGAGAAAGTATTTCTGAAAAATCTTTTCCCAGTTGAGAGAAATAAATGTTTGAACACAAAAATATAGTTTCTGAAAATCTGCTGTGATACACGATTTTGTAAAATCAATTAGGCATAGTAAATCAACTCCAAAAATAGTAAAAACTGGAGGAAAATTTATAAACATGTAGATAAACATGTCAGAGAAAGAATATTTCAAATATCACTTCCCATTTGTAAAAACTCATCAGTTTTGTAAAACATGCACGAACATGTGCACGAACGAAAACATGATTTTGTAAATTCCATTAAACATAACAAATCAATTCTAAACTTGATGAAACTTTGCGAAATGTTTGCAAATGATATTTTGAACATGTTACAAAAAGAATTTTCCAATTTGCATTTCCCAATTATGAAATCTCATTATTTTGCAAAAGTGTTCAAAACATGAAAACCCAAAACCATGCATGTATATATATAACTATATATATACATAGAAACCAAATACGTGTGTGTATATGATATTGAGCTTAAGGTACTTCACACACATAATATAAAATCTAAACTAGATTACCCAAGCTTGATCTTGATCTTCATTGTAGCTCAACTTGGTACACGTGCGGATGAAGCTTGAACTTGATCTTTAACTATGAATTGCATGTTGCTTCACTCCACAATTCCGCCAACCTCCATTTGATATCGTCGTTATGGCGCAATCCATCCATCCTCCAACTATGTTGTTTGTCTACAATAAATACGAAAACACAAATACTAGACAAACAACATTAGTGGTAAATTGTTTGTTAAACATCATCAAAACAAGAAGGCCAACAAAGAGGACGACCGGTTTCTTTAAATTCTGAAAAAGAGGGATTTATTAGATCTTTAAATTCTGAAAAAGAGGGATTTATTAGATGACAATGTGCAGCAGATGGAGGTAAAGAACTGCAACATGCCACCTGAACTGGTTTTCCATACAATTGATACAATCCTCCCAATGCATGTATGATGCAAACCACTTTGATCAAGAAAATAAAGCGGGACTATTCAAGAAGAGAGTGAGTCTATAACTGATAGTATATAAGGACAACTTTACGTAGTACCTTTTTTTAGTGGGGAATCGAAAGATTTTTGCGTAAACCCCACTGAACTTTACGTGTTCTGTACAAAACCTCCTTGAACTTTGCAAATTGAACATCTCAAACACCCCCCACACCCCCCCACCCCGCCCAAAAAAAAAGTGAAAAGTTTTACCTGAACATTGGGCATATATTCCACTCTAGGGGTTGTTGGGCAAGAGAGTGGTATTTTTTTTAATTT